TGAAACTATAGCCTTAGTATTTTGACTTCACAAACATCTAATTTGACCCACTGCTGCATTCAACATACCACATGACACAAAAAATCGATGTTTATCTGTGTTTTTTAATATTTACTTTTAAACTAATAAATTGAGTAATGTTTAGTTCTAAAATTTGAAATATAATCTACAGTTTGATACCAAACTTACTGACATAAATTCATGAAATAGTAGTTTGATAAAATTTTGAATGTGAGTCAACAAATGAGATGACACTGCCTTTTACCTGTGACCTGCCTCGAAAGGGTTAAGTACTGGATGCCAATGATAAAATTTTGCATACATATTCTTGAGTACCTAATTGAATGAAATTGTTCCTGGTATACCTGGACAAGATGGTAGAAAAGGTCTAAAAGGTTAGATAAAACTACATATCACCTTTTATTGTTTTTCAGTCTGCTTTAAGAAATTTCCTCATTAGTACCTATGAGGGAATAAAAATTATATTCATAAAATAAAGGTAAAATCTGTACAAATAAAAGTTAGTCATTCTTTACATTTTCTATAAATAGTGTAGGTACATCAGCTAAATCCTAGTTATCATAAAATAAATACTTAGGCTGTATAATAACTTCCATGTATTTTCAAAAGTATTATTATTGATAATATGAAATCAATTTCAACATAATAAAAAAATATGAAACTTTTCCAATTAATTAGATTAAAATAAACATTTTTGTTGCTTGCTATTTTAAAACACAACCACACTAAATTTAGGTTAAAATTACTGAATAAAATCAAAGAATTCTTTAGACATTTACAGTTAAGTAGGTGTACAAATGACATTTGATTAGACATATAGAAACATTTTTATTCTTCTGGCAAATGACAATATTCCATATAGAAAATAGTGCATTGCATGTAGTTTTGTCACATAAAAATACACATCCTAAGTTAGATCATGTGTTGCTATATATTTTAGAGTAATAAAAGTTCAAAACTTTATATAATTTTTATATTTAAATTCCCATGAAAACTTTCTGTATTCACTCAATGTACATATTTTTATAGTTACTGCTATGTTTAGTTTTTCATAGACTGAAAACAATAATTTGTTTTCTTCTACAGGAGAACCAGGAAGACATTAGAGAACAACAAAAAAAAATTAATGATAAATAGAACAACTCCTAAGTGAACAGTTTCCTTACCTGAAAACATATTTAAGGTAAATATCACCTCTCTGCATAACAAAAAGCTATTGCCTCACACCACTGTTGTGAAGATTTTTGCACACTCCATAAACTTTGAATGAAGCTACCAACCCTACATTTATTAACATGCATTGCATTAATCTATCATGTAGTCATCATTAGGCTATAGCCCTTTACCAACAGGAGGGTGACACATCCTCCACGTGCAGTAACCCCCATGAGCACTAGAATTTGAACAAAGGCTCGTTTGTGGTGAAGCAAAATAAATACACTGGAAATAGGGAAGAAGGATAACAGGTTGTGCACAGAAGTGAGTATCTATACGAAATACATTTTCAGTTAAGAAAAATGTTAAATTCTGAAATGTTTACTCACCTCTTTGTACAACAAAGAGGTAAAATCCTACGTTGAAGATGGTGGAGGGGCTAGTACAGGTAAAGAAATGACAAAGATGAGCTCTTTTCTGAAAACATACCAGAAAAGGAATACCCACTGAGTGTGTCACCCAATGAGGAGTGTAGCCTTATGGGGCATTGCTTGGTGGAAGATCATTTTCAATTCAAACAGGTGTATAGGTGGTAGTGCAAAAGATATTGTCAAAAAAATATTTTTCACAATGCTTAAGTGTTGCATAGGTGGCTATTATCCCATAAGTGATTGGCTGAGAAGGAGTTTGTAGTGTGGCTAGAGCAATAAGTCAGATCATTCCATATTGGAGAAATACATATATGAATATATGAGATACTTGCCAGAATAATCAAGCACAGGGAAAAATATCTCAGGGCTTCTTCCTGAGGAGAACACAAGTCCCATCTTGCTGGCCTAACCCCAGGAATGGTGGGGTTCATAACGCATATGATGGCCTTTACTACACTTCCAGGTAACACCCAAGTCTTACTTCTCATACATGGGTACATCCACTTGGTCTTGATTGGGATTACAACGATCCAGTGGCTTGGAATTGGGGAAACAAAGGTTCTTCTTTACTAAACTAGAAGAAAATGGAGGGGAGGAATTTGCTAATGTGAGAGTGCTCGACAGGTGCTTGGACCAAACAGGAAACATTATATTAAATAAGATAAAACATTGATAAACTGTGCAATGGGCTACCATGACTAAGGTGCCAGGGCAAACACACATTAACAGCTGTTGCTTTTTTTTTCTTCTTCTTCTGGTGAAATATGGCGTGGAAAAACATATATACATACACTGCTGAAGCATCCTTGCAGAAAACCCAATCTTAACAGTGGGCACATAGCAAGGGCAGATGGGCTTGACACTTTCTGTACTATAAGGCTTGATGAGGATTTTAAGAAAGAGAAGTATCTTTTGTGAGGGAAAATCATCCACTTGGTGGGTTCCACCGTCTCTAGTATATAAATCAATATATACAATAATGGTAATGAGGGAGATGTGAAAAGACAACAATGACAAAATAATTAAATTCAACTCACTAGTCTCTGAGAAGACTGGGGGAAAAAGAAACCTAGATGCAGATAAAATCACCATGTGATGTAAGTAATAGGACACAAGTGTGCCAGGGGTCATCGAAATCCAAAGGTGCGTGAGATCTGAAGAAATAACAACCAGAGAAGTAGAAAGAGGAGGGTTAATAGAAAAAAAAAAAAGACTGGAAAATCTGACACTGTATGCAAATCACCTATGTGACCTATCATGGCCAGCCTTCTGAGAGGGAACAGGTTAGGAAGCAATTCTACGAGACTCCCAGATGATAAAAAAAACCTGTTGGTACTCTCTACATAAAAAAAACTGGGTAACCAAAGTAGTTAGAAAAGATTGCTAATAAGCAGCCTCAGCTCAAGTTTTCAAAGTGTAAGGTACACCTCTAAAGACATTGTCTCAAAGGAAAGGTGCCAGAAGAAGATCCCTGATATAAGACTAAAGCAGATAAAAACTTGAAAGAAAGGTATCTTAACTAAGTACATTCCAGAAACAAAGAAACCAAGTTAACTGGGACACAATAAAAGAAGAATATTGAGGGTATGGTGAAAAACAGGTACATGCAAGTTACCCTGGTAAACCTAACAGGTTCATGATGAAAAGCTACAAAAAAAAAAAAAGGTGAAGTTGGAACAGATAGCCTAGAAGTTGAGTATGTAATGGATGAAGACAAGTACATGAAGACTGAGAGAAGGAAAAAAAAAGAACCCCAGGATGAAGGAAGAGACTTAAGTTATGGAAGCTTGAGATAGCTTAACAAAGTAGCTCTAGATTCAAAACAATAACTGGAGAAAGAGAAAATAAATTATGTATATCTGTGTCAAATAGTGCAGGACAAAGGTGGGATTACCTGATCCATGTCAGGAAGAAAGAAGTACACGCAAAAGTACGTGTGGAAACAATCTTGTTGAAACTTGTCAAAAGGCGAGGCAGGCTCAGCTGAAGTAACAGAATAGATCATAAATCCTGGATTCGTTATCAGAATAGAACCAACTATTTGGTGCATCATGGTGGTACTGTCGCTGTCTGTCAGAGTACCTCCAATCCTTATTACAGTATTGGATGACTCGTAAAAAATGTAGTTTTTAATCCATATGATTCATGAAACTGATAGTTTTTTGTTGTTTTTTTAAATGAAGAGTATTTAATGAAATCCTTATGCTTGGTTAAAACAACATGAAATAGTATTAATAACAAAACTTTATTACAAGCAATTAAAGACACGTATTGCAAAATTACAAATTTGATTAAAAGAGAAAATAAGGCTGAAGATAATTTGAATCAAAGTTCTAACTGAAATATTAAAGATTTTATATCTTTCTTTCTCATAATCAAGAACATTAAAGAAAGATTAGATTAAGAATGGTACCAAAAATTTAAAATAATAAGCCTAAAAATGTCATTAATTCCTCAGGAAAAACACATCTAAACAAAGAAATGGTGAGAAAAGAATGAACATTTATTAAAATGCTAGTGCTTATGGAGATTACTGCACATGCTGGATGTGTCACTATCCCACTGGCTATAATCTAATGATAATTATATCATAGGCTGGAACAATACATATTAATACATATAGAAGTTGGCACTTCTGTTCAATGCTTGTGGTGCACATAAAAATCTTCATAGCAGTTGTACAAGGAAATAGCTCTTTGTTATGTATAAAAGTGAGAAAACATTTCTAAACTGACCTTTTAGACCCTTTTGTCCAGGAGCTCCTGGATAGCCAGGTTCTCCAACTTGGCCCTTAACTCCTTTCTGAGCAAAAAGTATAAATCCTGGTTCACCAGGAGGTCCAATTGTTCCTTGAAACCCTGGAGGACCTACAGGCCCAGGAACTCCATATTCCCCATCATCTCCCTAAACAAAATTATAAATAAACCAAAAACACTCTTTATGATTACTGCATCACACTTTAAAAAAAAAAAAATTGAACTGTCAAATTTGAATATTATTAGTGTTGCATCTCACAATACATTATAACATTATCATATTTATAAGAATTCCAGTTATAACCTTGTTATTGCAACATTTGATTAAATTTTACATTTTTAGAATCAATATGAATTTTCGAGCAGACACTTACTTCTAAATTACGAAGAAACTTTTATTGTTGAGAGTGATAGCACCAGCTCCAAATATTTGTGGGGGCAAAACAAGACATCTTTTACTCATATGTAATTTTAAAGGGACTAGTTATCCCCCCCCCCCCCAAGTTTTAGTGTACCAAGTTACATCGAGACAATGTTGGGTTTCAAAAAATACTTTGTACTGAGTTTTGAAACCCCAAAGTACTCATAGACCTTGGAAACGATCAGAAGATTTTTGAGCATTCTAAAAAGTAGGGTTAAAGGGAATAGCTATTAGTACAGGATATATCTGGTTGACTTCTAGCATACAAGAAAAAAAAATCCCACAAAACAGTAGTGCATGTGCAAATGTGTTTTCTTTGTTATACACATTACATTTGCTCTATGTATTTAGGATTAAATTTGGGGGGAGAACAATTTGGATGTGCAAATGCACTCCCCCCAGAAGCTTTCCTGGCATAAGATAGATTTCTTTGTTTGCAGTTGTGATGGCATAATATATTCCTTCAGGTTGTGGGTGTTAATGTTGTTTTGGAGGTAATTACACGTTTGACATTTATTTTAATTCTAAACAAAGGTCAAATCAAAATCAGGTAGGCTTACCTCTGAAATACCAAATGCCAGAATACCCACAAGGAAATGGAGGAGGGAGCTGGAAAGTATCATAAGCAACACTGGTTTCTCAAAAGTAAGGCTCTTAGACTGGAGGACAACAACTTAGAACATAAAAATGAATTAAGTAGTCAAGCAGAATTGAATTCAGAATCAGGGTAAAGGACAATATAATGGATTCATGGAAGAACAGAGTGAAGTAGAACAATCTCAAAAAGACTGAATCAAAGTGAGGACAATCAGAAAGGCATTAGTGTCATCAAAATCCATTAATAAACGATATATACCAATTGAAAAGATCTAGGTATACTCAAGGATAGCCTTCACTACTCTAGGACAGTACAACACAAACATTAATTAACATTAAAAAATTAAAATTAAATAAGTAATATGATCTCCATCCTGATTGGAGGTTTGAGATCATAAAGATAATGGTCACCTTGTCTCTGATGTTTCAGTGCTAAGCAAAGATGTGTATGCAGGGTGGGAAAGGTACCTGCATGCTAGAGATGTACCATTGAGTCACTGAAATGGGCTGTAATGAAAGGGAATAAAGGAGCAGAAAATAAAACCTCCACAAAACGCATGACTTGGCAGTAAGGCAAAATCAGAAATAGGCAAAAAGCTGTTTAAATCATCTTTTACTCAATCATTTAGATCAGCCTGAAGGTCTTTCAACTGTTGAGGAGAAGAAAGCCCAGGCCCCATGGTGAAGCTAACACCCAACAAATGATGATGTGCACCCCACCCCTCTCAGTAGACAACGTTGTTCCTGAGGCCTGGGTAAGAAAAGTGTGGCAGTTGCCATGTTGGTTTAATCATGGTAAGTCGTCAATGCATAAATTTTAAGAATGTGTGTGATACAAATAATTAAAGTCCATAACGTACCAGAATGAAAGATAGTATCATAGGAAACTCATTCAAAATAAAAACTAATCATCAGATTATTTTCAAAATTATGTTGAGTCAGTTGGTTTGTCTTCATGATTCTAAAACAGTAAAATTTCAAGCAATCAATCAGAACAAAAACTATTGTACACTGAAGTCCACACAAAAATAAATTAATGTTATAATACAGAAAACTGAAAGCAAGCGAGAAACATGTCTGACACATATCATGCCAAACAAGAAAGTGAGGCACACGTAAAGTAGTACAGAGGAAGCCAGCTGATATAGGAGAGTTTGTTGTGCCCCTATTGGTGGAGGGTTATTCCATGCAGCTCAAACATATGGGGCATAAAGGCTAGTGCTTTAAGCAAGAATTTGTTTTCAATGCGTTAGAGGGCAGTGGGAGATCGAGAAAAGCTGTTGTGTCACAAGAGGTATGTATCATATTGGAATTTTTATCATTCTTGTTACTGTATATATATGAATGTGTTGGAAAGTACTTGAAAGTTTTTTTATTTCATACACTAAATTTCATTCATATAAGTTTTTATATGCAGTTACTCTGTAACAATATCATTTGAAGTTGAAGTATAAGAAATATGGTGCACAAAATGGTAAAGTTTCTACACTCTGAATGTATAACCAACTGATCATACTATAGTCAGATAAACATACATTACCTAAAGGAACTTTCAGCCTTAAGAAATAATTTACCTGTTGACCTTTGGCTCCATAACCTCCTCGTAGCCCATCAGGTCCTGGTGCACCAGGTATGCCATCAATGCCTTGGAAACCCCTACGTCCAATGTCACCAGGAAAACCTTTTAAACCTGTTCCGAGTCTATCACTGTATATTTCGCCATAATCTCCTTTCCTTCCCTTTTGACCTTCTATACCATATGATCCCCTTCGGCCCTGTTCTCACGCAAAAGAAATAAAATGTGATACTTACTAAAAATAATTTTAATAACCCATATCATTGAAAAATTGTATATGATCAGCTCTTTTGAGCACATATATTGTTTTATAATTTCCAAATTTATATTAATTAAACATTTTCAAAACTTACTGGATATCCTTTTGGTCCATTAACACCAGGGGATCCTAGTTTTCCTTTTACTCCTCTTTTTCCTTGAGGTCCTGGAAGGCCAGGTAAACCAGGTATTCCTAATGTACAAAAGTGCATTGATGCAGATACATTAACATTTCTGGTAAGAAGTAAAGTAATACCATCTGCATTTTAATGAAAAACAACACATTAAGTTGAATTGTAGGCTTATGCTACAACAAAAAGTATTATATTGTTCAAATAATGAACTAATCATATCATACTTTTCCCAGAAGAGAGTTTTATACTTGAGATGTGAAGCCCCAGTAGCTCAGAATATTGGTTTTAAAGAGTTAGTACAACCTCTCAAGACACTAGTACAACCCATGTTTACACACAAGCTAATAATGGCTTCAACATGTTATTATCCAAAGTACATTTTTTGTAACTTAAAGAAAATCTCTCCTCTAGATGACTTGTGATAATGTGAGGTAGGCATACACCTCATACTATCTCCTTCTATAGAGTTATTTCAGTTAAACAAAACTTAATTCCTTCTATGCTTTAGTTAAGAACCATCAAACCCATTAGATATCAAAATGCTAAATTGTTGTACTTTGCCATAGGTGTCTCACCTGTATAGCAGATTCTAATCAAGTTATCTTAACAATCACACTATACATTTGTATGTTAATGGATAGGACTGTCTAGGTGCAAGGTTACTTGTATATTTACCACAAGGATGAGAAGATAGCCACAATAAATAGGTTACAGATGGAGAGTATCATAGAACTGTAATAAAATTATTAGCCATACATAACAGTGATAGTAAAGAAGAAGAAAAGGATGTGGTAGTTTCAGTTGTTACAAACTGCTTTAACTGCTGGTGGGTTAACCCTTTAGCTCAGTTGGTAGAGTACTTGTCTGGTGTGTGAGAGTTCTTGAGTTTGTATCTGTATTGCATAAATAATAAAATAATGTTACCACCCAGACTTTATTAGCTGTGGATTTTTTCATTGACTAAAACTGCAAAAGTAAGCAAATGTACATAACCACACTTAGTTCCCCCCCTTTTTTTTGTAGTTCTAAATAATTTCATCATAAAGTTTGAACTATCAAAATAGTTGGTTACAAAGTTCTAACTTGAATTCTCAAACTGTACTTACTTATTAATGTTAATACATATAGGACAGTAAAATGCTCTTATATTATAACAATAGAAAAGTTATAGATATATTTCTGAGCTTTTTTGTATAAAATGTACAAAAAGTTTAAACATATAAAACAGTTTAATAGTCTTGAGTGGAAAAATAGAATATACACAGTTTTATGAACATTTGTGACACCTACAGTATGTCCAAAGTTAAAAAAAAATAAGTTTCAGTTTATGTTAGATTATTTTTGTTTATTTGTTTCAGATATTTGCACAAAGTTACACAAAGGCTATCTGTGCTAGCTATCTATAATTTTGAACTTACAGACTTCAGCAAATCAGCAAGTCAACAAAACCCCAACTCCAAAGAAAAAGGATGTTATGTGTTAAATAAAAAATATTTGCTTTTAGGAAAATTAATTATTGCACAAAATGGCACTCTTCACTCCTAACCAACCAAAGTTTTTCCAAAAAAAACTGAATGGGTTTTTTAACTTTAATATAAACACGTTTTACAAAAATATTCATTCAACTTATTATTTCTATAGGGTAAATAGTTCTTACAAGCACTCTTTTATTTTATTAAAGGTTTCAATCTATACAAAATTAAATTTCATCTCTAAAAAATTTTCTTACGAATTTTGAATGATTTTTCACACAAATATGTATCAACTCTCTTTTTACCTAATCATCTACAAACAGAAAGTTCAGTTTTTTTCACCAATAACTCCATTTCTTTAAGTGATGTAATATCTCACTCTATTATGAAAGGTTGTTATTATTACTGTGATTTCCACAAAGTATTAAATTACAATATAGATTATTTACCAAGTAGTCCAGGTTCTCCAGGACTGCCTTTTGGTCCTAATTCTGCTATACAGCGATTCAATTCATCTCCTTTAGGTCCAGGTGCTCCATCTGCTCCATCAATACCTGGTCGCCCTGGAATTCCAATATCTCCAGGCAAACCAGGAGTTCCAGGTGGACCTCTTGGCCCAACCCTGTTTACACCTACTCCAGGAAATCCTTTGTCACCTACAATCACAAGTTTCAGTAATCAGGATAAATTTACCAACTAATTATAATGAACACTGAAACAGAAGAATCTTATTATCCTAGTAGCAGACATCTAATTATTTTCCCAGTATTCTGTACTCACTATATATTAGTGATCTAACTATCAAACTAAACTGACTGATTGGAAAAATTCATTTAAACTCAATTTAAACCCACAAGATGTTCTTAGCATATTTCATCCCTTATACTATGAAAATAATTTTTACTCATAGTTAAACTGTAATATTTTGCTAAAAAACATCTTAAGTTTCAAACTCTTAACTTCTCTTCATTTAAGTTATTCATCTATCAGAAGAAAAACTATAATATTTCACACACACATAATATGTTTGTAGTTTTTATATATATTTTTTCAAATCCTGATGAAATACTTTTTGATTTAATTACTCCAGAGCAATTGCATACAGCCCTATACAAAAAATAAGTAAATCATGCAGTATTAATGTTAAATATATTTACCAAAAACAATTACAACAAACCTCTAATCCCACGAGAACCTAGTTCACCAGGAATTCCAGGACTTCCATCAACTCCTGGTTGGCCATTTTGGCCAGGAGGTCCTACTATGGTATCACCAGGATGACCTATCATTCCTCTTAAGCCTTGTATACCTTGAAAACCAGGTAGCCCTGGTGGCCCATCGTTTCCAGGATATCCTGTTAAACAAAAAAAATATATATATGTCATGTTAACATGTTATTATACAGTAGATTTACCAAGCACTTACCAACATTACAAAATGTTGTTACAGTAAATATTCCAGAAGTTGATATTTATCTGAATAGCTCTCTACATTTCCTGGAAGACTACAACAAAAGTATGATGAGGCTTATTATAAACTAAAACTTCTTGAAACTGTAAGGGAAAATAAGAATTTTTACTCTTGTTCACTTTTGAGTTACAGCAGGTTAATAATAAAATCATCTTACTTATTATGTTTGTTTAATTTTAAAAATGACTAATTCTCAATTTATAAATGATTTAAAACAATTAATATTTTGACTGGTGTCTTTATTAGAATGTACAACCTACAAGCAAATGTTGATTGTAATATATTATCTATAAATTCAGAATTAGTCACTTTTATACATAAACAAAGATTAATGTCTAGATTCAGTTACATTACAGGACTTAAAAAACAAAAAAGTGAAAGTTTAGCTTTAATTTATTAGACATACAGATTTGAATCTTGCATGTCTTTCAGAAAATGCTTTAATTTCATGGGACAGTGAGTCATTCTTCAAGTGATTTATAATTGCATAATACTTTATAATGAAAACTTCAATGAACACAAAAGCAAAAGTAGACAGAAAAAGGAACTACATGCTGTAAATAATGTATAATACTGTAATGTCTCAAAACTGATACTATTAGCTTGTGGATTTGCGACTCATATTACTTTACTGGTCAAAAGTTGAAAACAGTTGTGTGGGTCAGAGGATTCTTTAAATTGAGCTGTGGTTATATTTAGAAAGTTTTAACATTAGGTGTTGTGATTACAACTATCATGCTGGTTAGTACAGTGTGTGTGTGTATCTACATTTTAAGGCAGATAATATTGTTATGACAGTGGAAGTTGCATAACGCTGGGAGCATGCACGCTGGAGTTTCTGGAAGGATTATGAATTATTTGGGAGGTCCGAGTTTGTTCGAGGTGCCCTCTTTTTTAGTATATAAGCCTGGCGAGAAAAACCAGCAAGATTACATAGATATGCAGATAGATCAAAGATATAGATAATTGAGTCAAGCGAACAGTAGGCACTGTAAGTAAAGTGTGTGAATCACTGTGATTTATAGCGTGTGTCATAAAAGAAGTTAAGTTTAACGTATTAATTGGAAATTCTGTGTATTACAAAGTTGTATCCATGG